CAGTGCCCTGGCCATTGTGTGTATTTTGACGTTGACTGCTTTGGTGACTAAGCTTCTCTCCATATTTAGTTTATTGGTGCAGTACACTGAAAAAAACAAGGTTTATTTTTCATTTCCATGTTACCATGTTTATACTGGATAAAACTAGAACTATCACTGAAGGCGAATGATACCCCAAAACCCCACTTTGAAGTAAAGTGGCAGTAATCTATTAGTAAAGCCCACCTACAAATGAAGAAAATAAACACCAAAGGCAATTATTATTTATTGCTGGCTTGATTTTGATCTGTTGGGATGAACATGTATTTGCATTGCAAAACCTAGATTTATTTACAAATGACAAGTGGCTCATATATTATAAGTTTATCTAACTTAGTTAAGAAATCAAGGTATCATGTTAAAAAAACACCAAAATAACAAACAAGAGTGATCAGTGATCACATGTGTCGCCTCATGATGGCCAATTTCATGTTGGGACAAGTTTTGTGACAGACAGACAGACAGTGCACAACTAGACTTGGTACTGATCATTCCTTTAAAGTTTGGATGAAATTGCACCAGTAGTTTTTGAGGAGTAGTCCGGACAAGCTTTTATGTATCTGGCAACACACAGAAAAAAAAACCACCTTTTCATCAAACTTGCCAAAATATCATTCAACCGGAAAACCTGTGCAATATGTGCAAGGACTTGAGCAACAGATCAATCCTGTAAAGTTTCATTGAAATTGCATTTGTGGTATAAGAGATGTAGTCCGGACAAACTTAAAAAAAGGGCCATACCTCTGACAAAAATCATTGAACCGGAAAATGCTGACAATATGCACAACTAGACTTGGTTACTGATCATTCCTGTAAAGTTTGGATTAAATTGCACCAGTAGTTTATTAGGAGTAGTCAGGACAAGCTTTTGTGTATCTGGCAACACACAGAAAAAAAACACCTTTTTTATCAAAGGGCCATAACTCGGCCAAAAATCATTCAACCGGAAAACCCATGAAATATGCACAAGGACTTAAGCTACAGATCAACCCTGTAAAGTTTCATTGAAATTGCATTAGTGGTATAAGAGAAGTAGTCAAGACAAACTTTAAAAATAAAAATTATTAAAGGGCCATAACTCTGACAAAATCATTGAACCGGAAAATGCTGACAAAATGCACAACTAGACTTGGTACTGATCATTCCTGTAAAGTTTGGATGAAATTGCACCAGTAGTTTTATGAGGAGTAGTCCAGACAAGTTTTGTGACGGACGGACAGATAGACAAGACGACGGAGAAATGATCCCTATATGTTGCCACTACTCCATAGAGGCGACACAAAAATGAACCATGCTGTGAACATGACAGCTAGGTCAGAACTCAAAGTTAAAACCAGGGTAATTCAAATAACCATTAGGATTTTTCTTCTAAATGCCACTGTTTGAATGAACAATGTTGACTAACCAGTCTTACTTGTATGCAAAACTCACTTTTTTCAATTATACATCAATAACAGTGGTTAAAATATACACAGATACTTTTCTGACAAATTCTAAATCATTACTGACATGATGACTGAGAAAAACTTGAAATGTGTCAATAAAACACGGATGCCCCCACACGCCACTGTTCTGTCAATCTTATGACTCTAGGTCAAATAGTTTTTGGACTACATGTGCCACAAGTTGAAAACTAAAAATCAACAAAGGGCCATTATTCTGTTTAATTTAGTTGCAGAAAAAAATCCTTCCTTTACTACCATCTACACATTAAGTTTGTTAATCCCTGGAAGTTTAAGCAAAATCTGCCATCCGGTTTAAGAGGAGTTGCGTTCACAAGATTTTGGGACAGACTGACAAGTGCCACGCTATATGCTCCCACATTGTGGGGGATAAAAATAATCTTATTTTACTAACATGTTAAACTGTCAAATCCTCTTTTGTGCCAGGCAGTATCTACTGCACTGGACATACCACTGCGGGTTTTACAGGGAAATTTCGGGGAAAGTCTTAATCTGCTGTGAGGTTTTTTAAGATGTGGACCACTTCTGATTTGTTTTCAACCTTTGACTGTCTGTGAGAACTGTAATTGTAAAAATATATTTCAAAAATATTTTCTGTATTTTAAAATTCATCTTTAAACGTAATATTGACAAATATTGAAGATTGAACACCAATGAATTGACAATAACATATTTATAATTAATGTAACACAATGTTCATACAGTTACTAGAATAAGTTTTGTTAATTATTAATGCTAATTGCACGACTTTTTCCAGACCAATTTTAGTAATCACTTTTATGAAATAATTCGGACTGCATATCGATTATTCATCACATGAAGATACATCAAATTGTTTCTATTGAAGACGACCCCAAATAGCATTACAAAATTATCACAGTATTATCATTTAATTGCTACACCATGATTATAAATATATATAAAAAAACCTCATAGATTTCAACTTACAGTTTAATAGGCATTTTTGTTTGATGTATTGTTGATGATTGTTAATCACAATTGTATAAATCTGACTATTCACTGTCATTTGTAACTGTAGCATCTGACTGATGAATAGACCTTGAATAAAAAAAAAATACATATGTACAAACAGTATATGGAGAGATATTCATATATTGAAGCAACTGACATAACACAAACAGTTCAACAACACCAGTCAGTTTTGCATAGTCCTTACTTTCGTAAATAAACAAAATACAGAAAACAAACTACCAGTACTCACTTTAGTGCTGGCAAACATCTGGCAAAGGACATCCTCCGAGATCTTGTCCATAAGATCTTCCATGATGTTGTGTTCTGATACCATTGATTCTTCATGATGCACATCCCTTAAAAAGAATGCATGTATTTAATATGAATTTTAGTCTTAAACCAATGAAGGTAAAATATGATAAACAAGATCAACAAGGAAAGGCGGCGTTCAATGAACGCAACCCCCATATGACAAGCAACAAGTACCAATGGCAAGGAGCCCAGGCGGACCCAGTTTGTCATGTAGAAATAAATACTTTTTAAAAAAAAACAATTACACATTCATGTTATTTTGAAAAAAGAAATATGTACATGAATATAGAGTAATATTCTTTGGTTCCCTAAACCACGAGTGTGCCAGCAATATAGGATTATACCATGATAAGCTGCATAGACATATAATTACAAAATAATTTTTGAAATTCTTCCAATTCAAGTACATGTTATTTCGAAAATATCATTGTAAATGTAAATGTGTCTTACTCCATTTCCTTGATCTTATGCAGCAGATTCTGTCGGCATAGAAGCCAGTGCTGTCTCAATGATATTTCCAACACGTCTCTCCATTTCTTTTCATGTTTTTATTTCCAATTGTTGGTATAATAAGTGTTGACAACAAATTGTTGACCCTCACCGGCCCACCTACACTATCAATCATTGCTGTAAGAAAATGAAAGAAACAAATTATTTCATTAAAGTATACAAATATTTTGTCAAAAAAAAACTTCACATGGATTGTAATTTACATAACCGTGATAATAACACATTGCATAAATTAATATAGAGCTATTTTTAGCTGCCTCATGTACGTTGAATATTAGTACTACTGTGACTGTGTGTATTGGCAGCATAGTGTAAACTGTGTCTTTTATATAATGTACATGTAGGATTCTGTAATGTCTTACTAAAAATTGCATTGTTGCAAGATTTAATTTAGCAACGTTTTATCATTTGTTTTTCAAATTTCTCAGTGACTTTGGGGAAATTAAAACAGTTCAGAGGGAAGTTTATAAAACATTTCACAATAGGAAGTGGCTAGCCGTACGGCTAGCCAAAAGTTCTAGCCGTACGTGAGTCACGTACGACTAGCCAGGACACACTGTATTGGCTAGCCGTACGGCACTTTTCAAAATTATATGGAGTATGTGAGTCACGTACGGCTAGAACTTTTGGCTAGCCACTTCTTTCACAATAAGGAGTAGTGTTTTACAGCTAAACACAAACAAGATACATGTATTCTGTATAATAAATTAATTATTTAATAATCTGAAACATAAATTTGATCCGCATAATTTTACATGTTTGACATCATTGGAAGACAAGTAAATAAACACTGATAAATCATAATGTATCGATATATTCATTTTGGTACGAGACATTACATCTATGAATTCATTATCAGTATATAGTACTTAATGTAAACTATGATGCAATACATTAATCACTTACCTGTTCCTAATTTTGTGTTGACAACGAAACATGGCATTCCAACTTTCACAGGTCTTCAATCTACTAGAGTCTGTGTGTTTTTCCATAGGGAACACAATTCACATGACCGCATTCTGTGTTTCGACATTTCACATACAAATAACCAGACACTCCCTGTTTAAATTCATCTAACATGTTGTCAAAAGTTAATCAGTGCTGTTAATGGTAGCCAACTGGTCCAAGTCTACATTTTTTACAAAATCTTAGGTTTGACCGTAACACGCCAAACTCAACGATTCTTTTTCCCTCTTTCCAACCCTCATTATCAACCGATTTAGGAAGAGTTGATGTCTTGTAGAGCTGGTTTGGTTGACACGTAATACTGGTTACCTGCACTATAGTTATGTTCTATAATAAAGTCGGAATACTTGAGTTTTCTGCATCTTTTTACACTTTTTTTGAATCGACCGAGCGTATCACGCTGTAAGACGCCATGTTAGATATCGGCGGAAATTACGTCATTTTCTTGGGAATACTACCACGTGACCGGGGATATTCGCTATTATTAGAATTCCGACTTTATACGTAAAACAACGAAGTTCGTTACGATAAATGGCGAGATATGGCGGTAATTGTCGAAGATTGCCGATTTCATTATGGGTCTTCTACCTTATAATTTTTTAACTGTTATTGAGAACTACAATACCCTCCATGATACATATGATGTTTCAATTTGATAACTCTTAGGCAAAAAATAAAAATTTGTTTGTTTCCACTTCCCGACCCATTAAAAAATAAGGCTGGGTAGGTAGGTAGGTAGGTTATAGCACGGACTTTAATTGACATTTACATCCGTGGTTATAGGTAGGTACATGAAGGACTTTTTTTATATGTGCATAATAATATAATTCCTTGGCAAAATAGTTATTTACTGAACAAAGTTGGATTAACTTTCAGAACTGATATGTTTGTGGCGATTATCTGGCAAACTTGTTTTTGTAGAAAAGTTTCTGGTGAACTTTCAGCGAATAATTTTTTTGATAGAAAGATTCTGGCAATCTCTGGCAAATTAGTTTTCCACTGAAAGTTTCTGGCAAACTTTTGGCGAACAACTTAATATTCTGGTGAATTCGCCGCAAAGTCGCCAAATGTTTGCCACAGAGTTGCCACTAGTGGCGATATCTGGCAAACACTTGACACAGTGTTTTGGCGAACTAAAAGGTTTGCAGCGAATTTGCGGCAAAGTTGCGGCGAGTTTGCGGCAAACCTTTCCTTTTGGTACGGGAAGCCTGGGATATAGATAAACTCATTGTGTCATTATAGGTGATTGGGAAACAATTGTTTTCAAAGCACGATTTAACATATTGCCTCCATTCAATATATGTCATGGTATTATGACTTGTAGTCTGAACTATCTCTTCTGTAAATTGTAAACACAAAAAAAGTTCAGAAAAAAAGGTGTATACACTTAACCAAATTGCTAACTTTACATCATTTTTAAATGTGCATATTGCTAATTAAAAACATAGTCATTTATATCGATAAAACTTGTCACATCAATAGCAAAATAGTTTTGCAATCAGCTCTTAAGTTTCTATTGCTTTTTAATCAACAGTTATAAAATTATCAATAACGAAAATTGAATTTCCGTATTCACAAAATGCACGATATCTAACAATTCATATGAAAAAAATAGTATAACGATCCAAAATATAAGTTATCTGAAACAATGACTTTGTCAATACGCGTATAAATAGTAATTTTAATTTTTGTTTATTATTTTTCAATTAATTGATTGCGCACAGGTCATTCATAGACATGTAAATGCTAATTCATTTTAAAAAAAAACAATGCATTTGCTTCTCGTGTCTCAAGAATTAACTACAATGACTTTGTTAGAAACATCGTTCTAACTACATGTATATTGGAAACAATTCAAACGTCTTTCAAACAAAGGGTCCGGACCGTCGATATTATCTAAGCCGGTCAAAACAGTACCCAGGTAATTGTAAATTGATAATTATTTTATATGATAATTGTTTTAATTCTGGGCTTCTCCCTGCAGTGATTTTTGTATCATAATATTCAACAGATTTACCTTACAAAATACCAAATTTTAGACTGAATATTATTCAGTGCCGAGCTATGTAAATGTTATTGATATCGATTAAAATAACATTTTGTGATATTGGTAAATAAATATATTTATTATATAATCTATAAATAGCTTTGAAATGCCTTTCCCTGATTGGCTAACAAGCAACTTTTTGTAAAAAATAACAGGTCAATATCAGAGTATATTCACTGTTTTTTCCCCTAAAAATAGATTTTCAGAGTATATTCACCGGTTTTTCTTCTAAAAATAGATTTTCTGGAAATCCCTTAAAGACGCGAGACTTTTAAGTGACGTCACGCCAAATTTGTTGTTATTATTCTGAAAAAACTTTGTGTGGGTGTACATAAGAGTCAAATTAGTCTATTTTAGTTACCGTTTTTCATTTTTAAGAACAATAGCCCGATTAGCATGCCAATGGAAAGGGCCAAATTATGGAAACAGTAGACAAGCTGAAAAATATCGATTTCCGTCGTATGCAATGGCAGATGTGATAAGCCATATAAAAGCTATTTATAAATTATATAATAAAACAGATATGTACTTTTTAGCTGTTGAATATGATGTGATATGTACTGAAAAATTAATATTGACCTCGGCTATCGCCTCGGTCAATATTAATTTTTTCAGTACATATCACATCATATTCAACAGCTAAAAAGTCCATATTTGCATAATATATACAAAGTTTAATAAATCAAGAATCAATATATTCAAATCAAGCTTCTTCACAGATATAAGTACATACACAAATAGCAAAGGTCAAACATATACGCAGATATGTTATAAATATATAACTCAATTTTTGCTAAACACCATTAGATAAATTTTATATCACCACATGTATAGCGTATAAAACAGGTCAGCGATACATTGACGACATCTTAGACAACGAGGTTATGTTGTATGCAGAAGCATTCGGCAATTAGTTCATTTAAATGGACGGTAATGCTGGCCCCAATATGACCAGGGTGATCCAGGACTACCTGATTAGGGAATCTATTGAGCGAATTGACTGGCCAGCTCGCATACCTGACTAAAAATCCAATATAATAATAGAACACATGTGGAATGAGCGTCAACATAAATCCAGTTTAACAAAATTTGGACAACACGCTGCATGTTCTGAAATCTTCAAAGAGAGGGTCATTTTTTTCTGTAAAATTTATTTATAGGGTTAAATTCGTCCTGTAGCTGAATTCATAAAACAGTAAATCAACATTTAAAACATCTCGCACGGCGTTAATAAAATTATCCCAAAAATATTCACACTCAAACATATGGTGCTTAGCAAAAAATGAGTAGTATAACTGCATAAAATAAATCATTAACAATAATCTAAGCATGTTGACAATAAATCATACAGTAAAAAGACAGAGTTGACATAAGTAATTCAGTAGAAGCAGACAAAGAACTCTGGTTTATTGTACATAATAAAGAGAATATTTATAGACATTCATATTGTATTTTTTTGACATCACTAGTAGATAAGTGTAATTTTTCTACGAAAAACAAACTCTATCAATCTCTTAAAAAACATCTTTTGAAGAGGTGCAAAACTATCAAAGCCGATGTATTGTGTTTAATAAAGCACATAGTATAACGTCATAATTTAACAGTAATGAGCAACTTTTTCAATTTAAGAATTGCTGATTTTAAATTTTAGAGCAAACTATGTTAAAACTTTAGGTAATCAACGCCATTTCATGTTTACTAATTAGACTTATCATTTTTTGACAGAAACTTATTTGCATCAGCTTAAAATACGAACAAACTGAACTATTTTTTGTGAATTTTGGAATTAATTTTCAAGGAGTTGACCTTGCAAACAGTAATCTCCCGAATTATCCCACAAACAAACAAAGTTCTGTTTTTTTATATATTTGTTGTTTTTTTTCCAAATACATAACTGCAGAATTTAATAAATTATAAATAATTCCTAAATACGAGCAAAAATAAGATTACGGATCTAAAGTGCAAGAAATTCCAGACTGTAAATTTACAGCTTAAACAATTTGTGAAAATTAAGGAATTTATTTTAGCAAAATGTTTGTCTCTAGGAAATATTCCACAGTGTCACTCAACATATTATTTAACCTCATATATTCAATGTTTTAGTTATAATTATACAAATCATGGATGTTGACATTTTAATGTTGTTGTTCGATGACTGCATTTTCAGGAATAACTACCAAATAAAGATTTGAGTTAACCAAATCATACGTACATGTAAAAACACCTTAATATTGTTCTGTTTCAGACTGCCTTGCAATTATTGAGTTCTGATTTCTGGTAAAAGTACCAGGTCATTGACTTTATCCCGTTGTTTAACTTAAGTTCTAATAAATGCATATTTTGATGATGAACGTTATTTATAGATAATAAAAAAGATCTAGGTCTGATAATAGATTTTATAACTGGTGACTGAATGTTTTCTTGGCTACTCTGACTACCACTGGCCGTACATCATATTCGGAAAGTTTTAAGTAAACATGTATGTTACTCAACATAAATTATGATAATACCTTTTACTCATTAAATATAAAAATATAAAATATCTATTTAACGAAATACGTAAAAACTTTTACCTTTTAAACATAACGATAGATAATCATGAAGGCAGTCGCTCCACCAGAGTCCATAATTATTTTCAAAAAATAAGCACTCTTCATTGTCCTTATTTCCTCCTACATTTACTTCTGAAATTCAAACAAACCTGAGAAAAAATGTTGTAGACGTTTGTTATATCAATATTTATGCAATATTTGAAATATTACAAAGATCGACATAAGACATTCAGCAGGACAGCGGAATATAACCAATTTTCTGCTTTCAAGTCATTCGGCAGGACATTATTATTTTACCGAATGATCTGCTAGTAGGACATTCGGCAGAAGTGGATGATTGTTTGCACTAACAGTACCGACAATCAACAGGTTCAATCAAAACGAGCCTTTTGTTGTTTTGGACTTCCTTTGGGGATTTTTATTTTCTCTATTTAATAAAATATTCTGCCTACTTTTCGATTTTTGTAATCATTAATACAACTTAAATGGGCTAAACATTTTATGTTATTACGTTACAACACTCAAAATAAAAAGAAATAGTAATACTAAGATGAAATGTTATACCAAAGAGCACATTCCTAACAAATAGGCAGTCACATAATATACATAATACAGAAAAATGAAAACTTAACTTATTTTTAATGAATATATAGCTTACCTGTAATCAGCCTTTCGTATATTGAGATATATTCACTTCCTCCACCAGCTACCCAAGTTCCATTTGGTGAAATATCACATTTGGGCAAACTTATGTTCTCAATTGGTTTTTCTTTCATACAAAAGCACTATTACAAGAAATGAGTAGAAAGCAGTTTCATTTCACCCGCAGGCATTGCAACTTACTATTATACATACAGTAGGGTGAACGTTTCGGTTGTCAAAAATAGCGTTTTTCGTGCGTCCGTTTTTCGTGTACCGTGCGTGCGTATAGCGTGCAACGTGCGTTTGCTGAAACGCTTTCTCAAGCGTGCATCGTTTTCAAGCGTTTAACGTTTTTCGTTTTCCGTGTATCGTTTTTCGTTTATCGTGCGTCTGAAAGCGTGCGTTTCTTATTTAGCGTGCGTCTGCGTTCGTCTAAGCGCTTAAGTACCGTGTTTTGCGTCTGTTACTATTCAGAAGTAAAAGAATATCTTAGATAGATATATTATGTAAATTTCTTGTTTCTTAAACATGTAAGAGATGTTCTGTGTCCCTGTCAACGAATAGAAATATTATATAAAGAAGTATTATTGTGATGTTTACATTAAAGTTTTAAAGTTTGTGACCTCGCGGTGAATACTGGTCAGATTTCTACATGCTTTACGCCGAAGATTAATTTTTTTAATCCTAGTTTACATACGCATATAAGATTTAGTTACTAATTAATTGCAACATTTTTGATATCATAAATTCAGCAAACAGGTGTTTATATGCGTACCAATATATATCAGATATGAGGTTCGTCAGACATCAAATGATGGTAAGCAGACTAGCACCCCACCCCCTTTACAAGTTCATCTTCTGACTTTTCATCAAAGACTGTCGATCCGAACCCGATCCGAATCCTATTTAGGGTGATAATTATTTTAGACAGTTCCTCCCTATTTTTCTTGACAGATTTATATTGATATGTATTAGCCTGGCAGGGACTCGAACCCCTGACACTCGGAATACCATTCCGCGGCTCTTGAGTTCCTCCGAGCTATTCGGCCGCTTACACGTTTTACTTGTTAAAATACTGAATCGTTATAAACCTACTGTGTATGCAAATATTTCTTCGAATTTCCCAGGGTTACTTAGCATTGTGATTTAATTTCTACCTGGGCTATACAAATGTTATATCAGTCACAGGGTGAGAAAAAAGTGCACCCTGACATGGACTCGAACCCGCGACCCTCTAAATACGGTACCGCGGCTGTACCGACATTTGTTAATAGTTTTATTATTTGTACATGTATAGTGAACATTTTACTAATTATACATTGTACTATTTCTATATTTTTGTACAAATAAAAATACAAAAATGTAGCTAGATTTTTTTTTCTAGATAAATTCTATGGTGGCTAAAATATACCATGATGTACTTTATAGACATGTTACTCACAACAGACACCTTTAGAAAATTCCCCTATTCTGGTCAGCTCATTATCAAAAGCATAGACTACTTTTTTTGTATGTGGCCTGGCTTTTAAGCCCTTTTTTTTTGTTTC